CTACTGCCTAGCTGTGTGTCTTTGAGCTTGTTACTTAACCTCTCTGAGCTTCAGTTCCCTCTGCTGTAAAATGGAGCTAGTCCATTTCTAACTCAAAGGATGGTTGAGGGGATGAAAACAGAAAATCCATATAGCCAGCACACTGTACACATTTCATAAATATTAGCTATAGTATAGATATAATAGTTATTAATGAATAAAATGAAACAAAAACCCGTTCAATGCTTGGCTTCCTGGGGTCTGTGAGAAATGGCTCAATCGGGGCTGTAGGATCAGAGGGACTGATGAGCATGTATCAGTCATTCAGGGCACGTGATCTCTGAGGACCTCCTCTGTGGCTTACAACGCTGAGCCCCAGGCCATTGCAGGAGGGAGGGGCGGCCTGGGGCTGGAGAGGCGACCTGAGTCACCAGCTCTTCCCTGAGCCCCTGTGCTCCCATCCTGCAGCGTGGCCAAGAGCCTGGGTGCCAAGACGGTGGCCGCGCGGGCCCTGGCATGCACACGGGAGTGCCAGATCCTCTCTGAGGTGGTGGAGGACGCCGAGGCTGTGAGTGCCGTGCAGCGGTTCCTGGGTGAGTGAGCACTGTCCCCCACCTGGGCTTGGGGACCCACGGAGTCCCTGGAGCCCCTAGCAAGAGCATGTTCTCTCTTGTCCGTGTCCTCGGCACCTAGCGCGTGGCTGGACATGCAATAATCGCACAATAGGTGCGTGTTGAGTAGGAGGGAGGGGTGGGGGGAGGAGGGAGCGAGCCCTGCTGTCTCCAGCCCCAGACTTTTGTCCATGCCGCTCCCCTCTCTGGCTGCCCAGCCCTGGCCCTGTTCTCTGTGAGTTTCATGCAACTACACGGCCATCACGGCACCTCCTCCAGGAAGCCTCCCCTGATCACCTGCCCTCACCCTACCTGGGCTGGGACCTTCCCATGCACCAGTCCCTCTGTTCATACCTGCCTGGTTCTTATCCATCCGTGGCACTAGATGGTGGGCTCGGTGAGGGTGGGGGCTGGTGTGTCTTCACAGTTGTGTCCCCAGGGCCTTTCTGGCACAGGGCCTGGCGGGGAGTGGGCACTCAGCAAATATTTGTTGACTGAATGGATGAATGTGTGAGTGAGCAGAAAGGCGGATAATGAATAGAGGGATAGCGGACGGACGGACGGATGGATTGATGGATGACATGGAAATGGATGGATGGATGGATGGATGGACACATTGATTAATGGACATGTTGATGGATGGACGGACAGACAGACAAATGATGGAGAGGGGATGGGTGGATGGATGGATACGTTGATGGATGGGTACACTGGGGGGTGGACAGACAGACAGCCCGACGATGGATAGAGGAACGGATGGCTGGATGGACAGAGGAAAGGTGATGGGTGGAAGGATGGACGGTCGGGCTGGTGGATGGGAGAGAGCCAGGCGGTGATCGACGGCGGGAGGAAGAGGCGAGCGGCTGGCTGGCTGGCGAGATGGCTGCGTGGACCTGCGCTGAGCACTGACGGGCTTTTTCTCCCTTCCCACCCCGTCCCCGTGCCCCCGATCCGGGCAGACGATGAGCGTATGCTGGTCGAGCCTGCTTGCGGGGCGGCCTTGGCAGCCATCTACTCGGGCCTCCTGGGGAGGCTCCAGGCTGAGGGCCGCCTGCACCCCGGCCTGACGTCGGTTGTGGTCGTCGTGTGCGGAGGCAGCGGCATCGACAGCCGGGAGCTGCCGGCTCTGAAGACCCAGCTGGGCCTTAACTGAGGGGTCTCGGCCCAGGAGGGCCCGCCAGGCCCCAGAGACCCTGAAGAGGCCCATGGAGACCCCTGTGGCTGGCGGAGGGGGTCTCTGTGCCAGTGGGTGGCTGTGGCAGGTGTTCTGTGCCTCTGTGCCGCCCACTTCCTGCAGGAAGCCCTCCTGAACTGCTGCAATAAACCCGTTCTGAGTTGAGTTTGTAACCCCACAGGTCTTGTCTTCCACCTCCATGACCTCATACGAGGCACACAACTATCCTGGATCTGGTTACGTGACAAAGTGACTCCAAGTCGCACAGCTTGGGCAACAAAGCCAAGGCTTGGAAACTCAAGTCTCTAAAGGAGTCCAGCCACACTGAGTGTCTAAAAGGGCTGCTTTTACCTGGAGGAGCAGCTCAGGTTGACCAGGTCAGGAAGGAGAGGGGGATGTTCTGTCACCTCTCAGGCCTGGGCGGGAGAGGACAATGTCCTCAGTCTTTATCAAGTGCTTGTTATGTACCAGAAACTCTTCTAAGAACTTTCTACTCATTGTGTTCTTTAATTTCTTTTTTTTTTTTTTTTAAGAGAGAGGGTCTCACTGTCACCCATGCTAGAGTGCA